ATAATGTTTGCAGCCAAACTTGAATGAAACACACACACATATATATAATAGTGTAGATTTCAATTATTACAGACTAAGGTTGTGCAAATGCTTCAAAAGAGGAGGGTTTTGTTCCCCAGCAAAGTGACTGCATATGGAAAAGCACAACTTTTCCAACCTTTCAATGCTAAAATAAAATATTTGAGAAGTACATTTAATAACCCCCAAAGTATCAATAGATGATAGTAGTATTTATATTATCTTAGATATGATTTATTTTGTAAAGTTGATAAGCTGCTCTAATTAAAGCTGACTCTTGAGCATCTTGAATAGGCTGCATGAGTCTCAAGCAGAAATTAAGCATTGGTTTACCAAGGAAATTGATATTCTTACAATTTGTTGCCTCACTAGGACTTGCAAAGGAAAGAGGCTGTCAAGCATTTAGCACACAGCCTTTTTTCATTATCACAACCTTCAAGATTCTTACGAATCACGTAAAAATAATTGCGTCAAGGCACACATTAGTACAAATCCTGAACTGGATTATTTGTGATGTGAATTCAACCAGTAGACCACAAATACTTGGTCAAACAGGAAAACCAGTCAAGTGAGTTATTTACAGAAGCAAATTGGGAACACCAAGCACATTCAACACTTTGTAGAAATACAAAGTCTCTTATTTGGAAGGGGGGAAAAAAATCCCTGACCATCTTTCCTCAATAATCTGAAAAAAAGAGGGGAAGTCTTAGAGGATACTATGAAAAAATGTCTTTAAAATCTTTCTCTTTTGAAATAAGTAAGAAAAAAGAAGGGAAACTTTTATTCTGATATAGCAAGAAGGACATATATTTTTATACAAGATCACTTGCAGAATGAGCAAATAATAATCCATGCACACAATGCAGGTTAATCTTCCTTCTTGTAATTTTCCTGATAAAATGGATTACACGTCCACCATTTCAAGCTAGCATGAGGAAAGTGATGGCAATTGTAGTGGAGTAAGAAGCAATTTAGGAAGAACAACTGCAGACATACCCAGCACTTAAAGGATTTCCATACTGGATAAGAGATACCAGCTTGAAACTCTGAGAGTTGTAGTCCAAAACTACAGGTGGAGTGGAAGGCTACAAGTTGTGTTCTCTTCTGGCAGCATCTGAGGTAATTTGGGAAGCTTTACATTGAACTTCTGCATCTGCAAAACTGAAGGTGCCATCCCCTATAAACACTTCACTATGTTAGTGGGTTACAACATTTTGCTCAAAAGGACTTCCTTCTGATCAGAAATTTATAGGATTGTGCTCAAATCAAGCCATGGTTTTGTGGCAGCAATTCTATGCAGGATTATTTGGGAGTAAATTCTAATAACACTTGCTTTTCCCTTTCAAATGGCACAGATAGGGTTGCTCTGAATATTCATTGGCTTACAGTAAGTCTGATTAAGAAGTGTTCTCCTCAGGTCTTATTTCAAATTTCAAATGAACTATATGACAAAGAGTTCAGTGGAATTCTTTTCTTGAGTTTTCTGACGAACTCAAACATCCCTCTTGTCCTTCTTTGTTGCATTTAAGCAAACAATCTTAAGAGCTTGTCTCCCTGTTCTCTGCAGAGTTTACTCATGATTGTAACTTCAAGGACCAGTTGTAGGTCCCTTCATTCAAAGCTGCTGTAACTTCAAACTGTCACTGAATGAATATGAATGAATGAACACACACACACACACACACACACAGGTAGTCCTTAACTTATGACTATTCATTTATTGAAAGTTATGATGGCCTTGGAGAATGTGATTTACAACATGCACTTTTGACCGTTGCAATGGCAAAAAAACCCCACATTGGCAAATCTGGATTTGTTTAACAACCATGTGATTTGCTTAACATCTACGAATGGCCATGAACACTTAATGACCATAATAAAAACCATCCTAAATTCATGTCTGATTCAATTTGCAATGACTTACAATGGAAATTCTCAACTCAATTGAAGTCATGAGTTGAGGTCTAACTTGTATATTCTTCCTAGCATTTTCCTGGCAATTGGAGGAACCACTTTTTTTGGGGGGGGGGGGATCAACCAAGTTATCCAAAGAGATACATAAAATGTTGGGGTTTGATGAGGTTTGATGAAAAAGCAATAATGGAAAGGGGTTAGGAATAATCATATTTACAAGTGATGTACACAAAATTAAAGCGAACTGGATATCCTTAATCAAATTACGTAGAATTGTTCTTATTTACAGTATAAAAAATAATGCTCTGGCTATATTTCCAGGCAGGAGATTTATTTATTTATTTATTTATTTATTTATTTATTTATTTATTTATTTATTATTGAATTTATATCGCTGCCTATTCACACATGGTGACTCAAGGCGGCTTACAGAATATAAAACCTCATTTAAAACAATGAAAATAATAAAAATAATAAATTAAATTAACATAATATAATAAAATCACTCTCCACCCTCTGCCCTGGCCACAGCAAATATAATGAGCCATTTAATGGGCTCCATCCCGCTCCGGATTTCCCAGGCCCACTGGCAGAACCAGGTCTTCAGTGCCTTCCGGAAGAATGTTAGAGTAGGGGGCATTCTAATCTCTGAGGGAATGATGTTCCAGAGAGAGGGAGCCACCATAGAGAAGGCCCTTCTTCTGGGTCCCCACCAGGTGTATCAGGAGATTAATTTGGAATGTTGGATTTGGTAGAAGAAAGGTAACTTCTTTGTGCTCTGGGCAATATTCTTCTGTGATTTTATGCCATAAGTAAACATGTTAATCTAACATAACCCAATTAATATCTCAAACAGCAGTAGCAGATTAAAAGGCAATAATTAGAGCAATAGATCCCTGAACAGCCTCCAGCAAAGTCTTTGATTTCATAAAAGCTGATTACTATTTTTACAAAGAAATCTAGTATGGGTTTTTAAAAATTCATTTTTCAGTCCAATACTCCAGTAATGAATGCAGATCCATCTGTATTCACTCTCCTGCATTTCAGCCTTAATACTGAGCACATATCATTGGCCTATGAATTACCTCCCTTCCCCTTGATTATTCTCCTTGAAATCCCAAGTATCTAGACTTCAGCCTAGAGAAGTATCCCTAAGTCATGGAGATGTTTAGTGGAAGCTCCAGCTAACTACACACTTATGGTATATGCTGAGAGTAAAAACATAATGGAAGCATTTAATTGCCTACAAAAAATGTACACTTTATTTCAGCTATTAGCTGGAGAAGCAACAAAAGTATAAACAGAAGCACAACACTTGCTTCTGTGTTTATCCACTTCTTCCCTCTTTTCTTGCAAGTCTGAAATCAGTGCTCTACTTGACTATTATTAATTTGGCCAAGAATGAGAAAATGTGAAGTAGAAATAATAAAATAATGCACACATAAAAGCCAGCAAGTAGCATATTTCATCCTCAGAGGAAAAGAGGGTAACAATACGAGGAAATGCAAGGTTTTTTTTAAAACTCTATGTTCAATTTTTCTCAGTCTGGAGAAAAAAGAAAGCTTTAAGTACTCCCACATTTAAATGGTATTAATAGATTGGCTTAAAATTAAATAGCTTCAATTTATTTATTTATTTATTAAGAAATTTTATGACCACTCAATTCACTCTTGGTGATTCTGGATGGCTTACAATAAAACTCCAATACAAAACCCAATAACTCCCTATCCCCAATGTTCAAAACACATACAAATAACAGACAATAGACAGCTAGAACTGAGTGAGAATAATTCAAATTGTGACAAGGGAACAGAAATGAGCCCCCACTTGAATATGGAGGTTATAAACTCTCATCATTCAAGATTTCATGACTGTTTATCTGTCAATGAGAACTCTTTCAGATGTGCATAGATTGTTAGGAAAATGATATTGGACATTTGTTGATGAACACTGGAAAATATATTCTTTTGAATAACTAAAATATATTTTGTCAGTACTATATATTAACAATATTAGGATCTTGAATAAGAAAAGAGACCATAAACTGGATTTCATTACAGCACCTGCCAAGTCTCCAGTGAATCAGGACTAAGGAAAAAAACAGTAAGGTGATTAAAAAAAAATTAACCCACATTTATTGCTTTGTAAATAACTCAAGGTGTTGAACATACTAATACTTCCTCCACCTCCTGTTTTTCCCAAAACAAAAAAATTATATGCAGTGAGTTAGGCTGAAAGAGAGAATGACCGGCCTAAAGTCACCCAGTCTGCTTTCATGCCTCAGGTAGAACTGGAACTTGCAGCCTCCTGGTTTCCAGGCCACTGCCTTAATTACTACACCAAACTGAATGTCTTGAGTTTTCACAGAATTAGAATTTATTTATTTAGAAAATGTATATGTCTGCCCAGTCACTAACAATGACTCTGGATGGCTTACAAAAATTAAAAACCCAATATACAAAAAAAAAAAAAAAAGAACAACATACAACAGTAAGAATTCAGAGTTACTCGCAATGTTACTTAACAATCTCAGTCAATTTGAAACAAGAGTTTAGCATCTAGCAATGTATGACAATGTATGACAGTTGTAAATATGATTTCCAATTGATGCAGGTATTGATATTTTACATGAAGGGATACATATCCAACACGAGTTTTGGATACTGAGGATACTTTCACATATTTAGATTAATATGTGAAGCATGATTATCTTAGCTGTGTTTTCAGTAACAATAAAGTGGCGCAAGAAAACATGTTGACTTATCATTCCATAACACAAAATTAATGGTTTTAGATATAAAGGTTATCAAATGATAATGGCAATATTATCTGTGATTTACTTTCAAAAACCGGATAGCATAAGCACTTGATCGTTCCACATTCAGTGTTTCATTAACAAGTATGACACACAATTCTAAGGAAAACAATTAATTCACTTTCTTTGGTCTAGCAAAAAAAATGACCACATTATCAGTTCTATTGCACTTCTGCAACCTTACTATCATAAAGGTGATCAACCAGTTTTTATGTTACTCAAGTTCTCTTGCACAACTCAGATCAATACTTACAATCCGAGGTTTGAAGGGTGGCTTAATTTTCCTTTGTTCTAGAAGAACCCAGTCAATTTCTTTGAAGAATGGATGCTGTTTAATGGCATCTTCACCGTTCTGAGATGCTACACAGCCCAGGCGTTTGTTTGGGTTTTTTGTCATGAACTGCAGGGAAAACAAATAACCAACTTCAGTTACATAGTGGAAAAATTGTATAAGGTGGGAAGATACAGCAAGACAAACTCTGGGAAAAGCAGAAACATCCTGCAAAATATTCTATTTGCATTAGTCTTTCTGATGCCTTTCCTAATTCAGTAAAGTTTTGAGCTGTCTGTTATTATTCTATGATAACTGCAGCAGTCTTTATTTCAAAACATTATATAGTAATAAACCACAGCAATGCTTAAATCAGATTAACATGTACTTAAATCAATGTTATGTTTTACTGTGCTTTTTATTGCATTCATATTTACATACAGGGCAGTAAAATTTTAATATATCAATGAGTCAGAAAAAAAGAGTGTGTTTGGTTAGTATAATAGTGTAGACTATGATCCAAATGCTGTACAATTTTTGAAGACAAGAATTGGCAGATTCACTAAATATTTTTTTCAAAGCTGAATGTCACCATTTTACTACTCTTTATTAATGGAAACATAGAGAGCATATTGTTTGATCACTGAGAATGCAAACAATTGACAGATCTATAGCAAAGGAATAGACAAAGGTTGAACAGGCCCATCCAAATAAAACAAGCAACCTCTGGTATTTTCTTTTAATTGAGATTGTGAAATCCAAGCTGAGCTACTCACAAAAGAGCACACTATGCCATCTAAAACTGGGGCAGAAACACAGTATATCTGGGTGTAACAAATGATATAGATAAAATTGATGGTTCAAGAAGACGAGTATGAAGACTCAAACCAGAAACCACAGTAGAACCCCAAAAAAACATTAACATGTGTTGTAAAGGGAAAAAAGAACAGGCCAATGGCCACAAATACATTTTAATCAACACAAAATGTGTTCGACCTAAACAGGATTGAAATGAAAAAGCTGCTATGTTAATAACATCAACAGTAGAGAAGCAGGATTGAAGAGCAGAATCCTTAGAGCAGTGTTGGCTAACCTTTTTGTCGTTGCATGCTGAAAGCACTTGTGGTGTGAGACAGTGTGTGTACTTGCACCCATAAGGCAAGGAGCGCACACATACGTGGTGGAGCTGAGCTGGGGTGATAGCTCGTGTGCCCGCAGAGAGGCTCTGCATGCAACCTGTGGCATGCGTGCCATAGGTTTACCATCACTGAACATTTTTTTAAAGAAGAGAGAAGCTAAAGTTATCGGTGCAATAACATTGCTGGATAAAATTCTCAGTCTTTCTTCTCACTTCTGAAAGGTTTTTTTGTTTCCCTCCTACTCTCTAAATAAGTTAAACCAATCCAGGCTTTAATACTCTTAAATTTTATTTTTTATTTTTTTTAAAAAACTTCCTCTCTGTACTTGATGGGAAATTACACTAATGTTTGGTTGTTTGCCAGCAAATTTCAGTGGTACAATCTTAGTGGTCTCTGAATGCTGCAAGAAAGGTGATAGGGTAGCTTATGCATCTCGCTTGCCAAGACCTCTCATAAAACCTGTAATACAGATTTCCTTTAATCAGAAAAGAAGACAACCGAATCTACGTTTTTTGGAATGCAAAGCATATTTTCCATTGTGAAACTAAGGCTCCTTTATTTCTCATTTTGTCTTATTTTCAAGAGAAATAATATTAAGCCTTAAAAAAAGTAAAAGGGGTTTTGGATTCCAGAGTCATAAGGTGTGTAAACATTCTAAAAATTAAGAGTGGTGTCTTTCATAAAACCTCAGAAATTAATAGAATCTCCATTGTCCCAGCACTGAAGATCAGTTCAGAGAAAGTAAACCTCAGATTTCCCACTGTTGTTCCTGCCACCCTCCCCAAGTTTCAAAATATCTTCAGTTTTGGACTCTGGATATTTTTTGTTTGGAAATTGTAAATAAACTGCAATATAATAGTGCAATAAAATAAATAAAATTGTGTAGAACCCCAAAATCATTCTGCCAAAGCTATACAAAATACTTTTAAAAATCTTTAACAGGATTCCAATTTAAAGTGTCTGAAGAACAAAGCCCTCATCTAACAGTACAATGTAAGGAAACAAAGCGTTCCAAAGCTAATCCCTTGTTAATATTCGCCAGTCAAGTACATAGACGCCCCTCCATTTCCTCTGTTTTTCCTGCTCTTCGGCTAATTCATACTGCTAAAGAACAAGATGAACAACCCAAGTTTCAAACATTAATCTAAGCCTGAAACTCACCCCAATGGAGATCTGTTGTTGTAAGATGCTGTTTGTATGGTGGGTGGGAAAAGCCATCACATTATTTCTTTTCAGAGTAAAAAATCCGATAACAATCTATATGTTTTAAAATGACTTTATGGATAAGCCTTCTTAGGTAAAGGTTCCCCTCACACATATGTGCTAGTTGTTCCTGACTCTAGGGGCTGGTGCTCATTTCTGTTTCAAAGCCAAAGAGCCAGCGCTGTCCAAAGACGTCTCGGTGGTCATGTGGCCAGCATGTCTAAATGCCAAAGGTACACAGAACGCTGTTGCCTTCCCACCAAAGGTGGTCCCTATTTTTCTACTTGCATTTTTACATCCTTTCAAACTGCTAGGTTGGCAGAAGTTGGGACAAGTAATGGGAGCTCACTCCATTACGCAGTGCTAGGGATTCAAAACACTGAACTACCAACCTTTCTGAGTGACAAACTCAGAGTCTTAGCCACTGAGCCACCCTTCAAGCCTTCTTATCGCTTCCATAAATGATAGAGGAGACTTTCCTCTATCAATAGATCTCCATGCCANCCAACACTGCAAGTCTTTAAGAAGATGTTGGATAGCCATTTGTCTAAAATGGTATAAGGTTTCCTGCCTAGGCAGGGGGTTGGACTAGAAAACTTCCAAGGTCCCTTCCAACTCTGCTATTGTATTGTATTGTAAGTATTTCTGCTGAATTGGCATACATAACCATCCTTCATAAAGTGATATTCTAAGGAAAAAAAATGGGGCAGTTAAAAGCAAATGGGCTAATAATTCTTTCTCTATATGAAATGTACAAGAAATTAATTCTGGAGCTAACTTGCTTTCCTTGCCATTTATAATATTGTATTTTACAGAAGTATATTTAGAATAGCAATGTCCATTTTTTTTCTCCAAGGAGTTCAAGGCAACATAGGTAGTATAATAGCACTCATGCTTCTCAAGTTCATTTGCTTGATTCAGGTAGAGAATCAAAATCAAAATTAAAACAAGGATCCACTGTTTTCTTTTTTGAGCTGAACTCAACTCTTCGTAACTTCAAGGACATATTGTTATAAGTCTTCCCTGCAACAAAATTGAGATGATTGCTCTTCTTGGATAGCATGGATTTTTTTTTAAACTTCCCTAACCTACAGCCAAGGAATCTTCTAGTAGTCTCTCCTGTGGATACTAACCACATTGCCCCTTCTTAATATTTCAACAATAACCAAGATTGACTAGATGCTGCCACCTAGCTGGGCATGTCCCTGATTATTGTAAAATATGTGTAACCCAAATGTTACATTTCCTAGACCCATATTAGCTTTGAAGAAATTAGTTCTTCATGTAAGCTGCATTGAGGAAATGTATGATATATATCTAACATATACATAAATACAGAATTGCGAATGATTCTACCATTTGGGATTCATTGTTGGTTTTCTTCTTCTCCAGGGAAAGCATAAGGCATAAGGCAGCGTTAATAGGAGATGATGGAAGCCAATCTCTCAAGCTGATCTCTGAAGAAGTAATGCTCACTTCTGATAAATTAACCCCAATATCTCTTGCTGCCTCCCCCTTATGAGAATATGAGTGTTTTGTAGGAGGAGGAGAGGAGAATGATTTTCTCTGAGATGAGGAAAAAAAATAAAACTGAATTCAGATCTAGAATATTTTGAGTTTGTAATTGACAAGTGTGCTGTGGTTCTTCTCTTGATCAAGCAGAATTTAAGCAGATAATATTCATCACCTTTCCATTCTTAATATGTGAAAGGGAGTGGACTGGAGGATACATTTCTTTATTCTCAGTTATTACAATTCCCCTCTGCTCTGCCATCCCTACTGGATTCTATGAGGAGGAAGTATCTGATTTGAATTTATGGCACATGGACTAGGATAATCAACAGCAGCAGATCTTGTTCTGGTTCTGTGAATGATGTCCCAGTCATGTATGTCACACTTTTATGCGAGACTGAGATAAGTAAGATATTACAGATAAATGCCAGTGCATCAGAATAAGAGTATTGGATAAGACAGCCTCATTTTCATTCACATATATTTGGGCTGTCAGTATCTCAGTCTTTTCCTGTTCTTTGATTTTACCCTCTTTTAATTTTGCATGGAGTAGTGAAAAGTGCAGAATCAATGCATAATTAAAGTAACTGAACAATAGTACAAAATCTGGAATCTGAAAAGAAAAAAAAAACACTGCTGGACCCAGAAGTGTCACCAAAAGAGGCTATTTCACACATACAGTTGAAGATCTATAATACTGGGGAACTATCTCTTACTGTACAGTAGTTTACTGTAGAACTGCAATCATGAAAGGAATGACACACAAAAAATATGAATGACAAACAAGTCATGAGAAACAACAAGAAACAACAGCAATCCATAAATAAGGTGATGAAAAATGTTCTAGCAAAACCTGGAGACATCAAAATAAATCAACTTTGGGATATTTTGCATCTCTCACCCCTCCCGCTGCCTACACCCTTGGTCAAATATAATATAATGCAGCTTCCATGCCTTGTATAACTCAGTCACTCATAACTTGGTCACCTCCCACTTGGAGGACTGTAATGTGGCCCACATGATGAGTACATGGAAACTGCAACTGGTCCATGCAGTGGTGTAGGCAGTTTTTGGAGTTTCTTGCTACACTCATATGATGTTGCTGCTTTGCGAGATGCTCTGGCTTCCAGTAAGTTCCTGAGTGCAATTTAATGTGCTGTTGTCATCTATACAGATCTAGATGGCACTGGGCCTGGCTAGATTTAGCGAAATTCAGCTCCCTGTCATTTTGTTTGAGGCTGGAATTGAGTTTTCTTGGTGGCAGTGCCTGCCCATGAACAGCATCCTCTCAGAGAACTGGATGGTCCAGACTCTTTTGGCCTTCCTCAGGCATCTGGACCAGGAAGTTGAATGAGCTCTGTATTGAAGTGGGTTTTTTTTTAATTGGGATGCATGGTTTGTCTCAAGTATCATGAGCTGTTTGTAACTGTTAGTTTTATTCTTTGCACACTGCCCACAATCACTGGAGTGAGATGGGTTGTCATATATATTATATTCATAATACATACATACATACATACATACATACATACATACATACATACATGACAGGCTTTGGATCTATATGATCAAAATGATATATAAATTTAGATCTCACTATCACCAAAAACTTCTGATCAAAGGGACAATCAAACTTAGTACTGTAAGCATTGCAAGCAAGGGAGTTAGAAGCTCTGGATGGCTTCACTTTTATACAAGATATTAATGTACTTATGCTTGAGACATGAACAACATAACACTCTGAAAAGACCCTGTATTAAATAACAATCACCTCAAAGGCAGTTTTTTTAAACTGCCCAAACCCGTTAGATTACTTAATTTTCCAGTGCCTGAATTTATGAGGTTTTGGAATAATGATAGCTGAGACCAGTAAAAGTTACTGGCTCCTTTTGACGTAGAAATAACTACTCATGAAATTCAGTGGAAAGGCTTCTGAGAAAGTTGTTTAGGAGTAGGTTTCCTCACCTATAGTACTAATACATCTTCCCTTTTTTCTTGCATTTAATGTAATTATCTTTATAACACAATTATTAAATACTGTCTCTGTATTTCCATTCACGTAAACCTTTTTTTCCCCTCTCAGGGGATTTCTGATTCCCACAAAGTGATTTCTGGACAAATATTAGTAGTAGTAAAATAAATAAATAAAAAGTAAATACTGTAAATAAATACTATAGAAATACAAACCAAAGGCATGGCACCATGCCAAAGAACAGAATCCTGGTTCCATAATCTTTCCAGCAAATATTGCTAGGCAGTTACGTAAAGACGTAAGTTAAAATGGAAGAAACCTGAACTCTAAAACCTAGCCAGTTGAAAGATAGGTATTTTTGTAAAAAAAATCTTTTAAGTAGGTTTCATTCTAACAGCTTCTAGTGATCCTCCTTCCCTGCCTTCATGAAATTAAAAAGAACAAGTATTATTCTGTTTCCCCACTATCAAATCATAAATAATGTCTCTATAGCTGTTTGGTTTCTTATGTTTTCTACACATCAAACAAATCTTAAAGGTAAAGGTAACAGTTATCTTGCACATATGTGCTAATCGTTCCCGACTTTAGGGAGTGGTGCTCATCTCCATTTCAAAGCCGAAGAGCCAGCGCTGTCAGAAGATCTCTCCATGGTCATGTGGCCAGCATGACTAAATGCTGAATGCCCATGGAACACCTTCCCACCAAAGTGGTCCCTATTTTTCTACTTGCATTTTTATGTGCTTTCAAACTGCTAGGTTGGCAGAAGCTGGGATTTGTGCTCACTCCCGTTACGCAGCGCTAGGGATTCAAACCACTGAACTGCTGACCTTTCTGATTGAAAAGTCCAGTGTCTTAGTCACTGAGCCATTGCATCCCTAAATAAATGTTAGTGAAAATAGTATAAAGAAACATTTCCTCTTGGTTTTTTTCTGGAGGGATGTCACAATCATTGCTTAAGGAGGGGTCTGTTCCTAAGAAAAATCTGGAAATATTGTCCATTGAATAACTATTCCAAAAAAATTGGCAGACAATTTGAAATGTCATTTGTAATTAAAGTTGCCTGGAAAGAGTTTATTGCTCTTTTTTCTCTTCATTTGAGCAGCAACCTGCAGTGTGGAACACATACTCATTCATATGGTCTCTGGGTGTGATTTAAATCTCTGATCTAAGGGGTTGCTAAGCACATAGGGAATGGAGAAGGCTGCTTCTTGGATATGTTTTTGAGGCCAACATAGAACTCATGTTGGAGACTGAGGGAACAATGGGTTTATTCCTTTTCTTGGGCCTATAATGACAATGAAAGGAGTGAACAGAGCAATTATGTTTATTCAAATGTAAGACAGGAACTATTTATCCACATAAGGCATTTTTGTTCTATTTATGGATCATAAATTGGCAGGGGATTTTTAGGGGTATGAGATGTTTCTGAGATGAGATGTCTCTTTTAGGGGTATGAGATTTTTCTGTGAGAAGTTTAAGGGAAGATTTGAAGTGCAAAGTACTACTATATGTATCACTGTAATATAACTTAAGACATACTAAATGTATAGTTAATGGAAATATTATTAAAGGTAGATACAGTGATGTATATCTAATATTTGATGTATATCAAATATCTAAGAATATTAATCATAATTATGTTTCAAACATGTTCAACAAAAAATATTTTCAGAAGAGAATCAGTCTTTCTATGCTCTAGGTTTTGGCTTGAGTTCCTCATCTGGTCACATCAGCCATGCCCATCAATGTAAGAAACATGGAAGGAAGGCTTCTTCTTAGGATAGGCACATTTTGTGGCTTCTCTGTCTTGGATGGACTTAGCAAACTAACAGCAATCAATGCAGCAGAATTAACTGCAGAACTTACATCTGTCTGTCTGTCTGTCTGTCTGTCTGTCTGTCTGTCTATCTATCTATCTATCTATCTATCTATCTATCTATCTATCTATCTATC